GAAATGAAAGATGGAGAGAGAAGGACTTTTTTGCAGAAATATTCCTCTCACTGGGTTTGTGGGTGGGTGAGCAAGGCCCAGCGAGTGGGGCGCGAAAAATGAGTCGATCTAAAATTCGGTGAACAAACAATCCCCTTTAAATTCCCGAAGCCATCGGGCTGCCGCTCTAGCTTCGTTTGTGTGGCTCAGCTGGTAGCGGCGCCGCATCTTCAATACTAGTCCCACAAGTTCATCTCCGTGAGAGGCTTATATGAAAAATTTCGAAAAATTTTTTTTTTCATGTCTTCCCATCTTCAATAAAAGATTTTCAGTATCCACTCCCAGCCAAAAAGCAAAAGAAACACTGATATCTACTCCAACGTCTTCTTCAACATCTTCTGACTCCCGGTATCACGTCATCTCAGATAGTGTAATCCTAGTTTTCCCCATGATCTTATCACACCCTCCCACCCAAAAAACATTCCGACACCATCTCGCCAACAACCGAAAAAACAACAACAGCACCTTCTTTTTATTTATTATTATTTTCAAAAAAAAAATGCCAATAAAAATTCAATAATTTGGTTATTTCTTCCTTCTTTATAATGTGATCTATTTTTGAAGATCTCCCCCACTTTCCCTCCCCCATCTTTTATATTTGACACACAGTGCCCTTCACAAGGTAGCTGATAAATTGGATTTTGCATTAAATTGTGAATTGAATTTAACAAAACGCATCAAGAAATAAACACATATCATTTGTTTTCGACATAATTCTCTTTTCAATATCAAGTCATGAACCTAACTCAGGAAATATCGTAGAATGTTACATTACAAAGTTGCGACATAATTTGAACTCCCGCCGGAAACCATCAATGCGCAAGCAATTCAATAGGCGCATCTTCAGATCCTTTGCGTAAAAGTCGTGTCTAATGTTTTCTGCAAATTTTGATGAAAAATAAAAGAATTTTCTGAATTTCAACCGAATCACTTTTACAGGTTTTGTTGTTTTAAAAAAGTTCCTTTGTTGCTGTATTGTTGTAAAATTTCTTCCATAATGTAAATCCTTTCCATTAAACTATAATTGCATCAGAAAAATAAATGATCAAGTTATTTACAAATATAATTTTTTTACAGGATGTCTATTTCCTCAGGATCTTCCATTTGTGGGGACGAAGACGGGGATCTTTTGCTCGACGAAGAAGAAGAAATAGATTTTTATGCGATTCTCAATGTTCCCAAAGATGTGAATATTTTACAGAAAAGAAATACATAATGGTTATATTTCAGGCGACAGATGACGAGATCATAAAGGCTTACCGCAAAAGATGCCTCATGTTTCATCCGGACAGATTCACTGATAACGATGAGAAAAAAGACGCGGAGCGTGTTTTTGTGAAACTAAGAAGGGCTCACGAAGTACTATTGGATCCGAAACAAAGAGCGATTTATGATGCTCTTGGAGTACAAGGATTGGATACACAGGGATGGGAGCTAGTCTCCCGGTCAGCAAATCCAGAGAATATCCGAAAAGAATATGAGTTTCTCCAACGACTGAAGGAGCGCGAGCTGATGTTACAAAGAGTTCACCCTACTAGTACATTCATGATCAAAACCACAGTAGCAGGAATGTTCCAAGAAAACGAGGAAGATAGATATCCACCTCAACTTTTGGGAATCTCTCTTTCTCAGTCAGTTGATTGTGCTTTCACTGGAGTCGATCGTTTCGGACTTTCAGGAAGAGTGAAAACTGGTAATGGACGAGGAGATGGTAGTGTGTCGGCTGTTTGGAAACGTGTTGCTGGAAATGTTAATTTAGAAGTTCGTCAGGTTTTCTTGAACATAATTAACCAACTTTTTTTTAGAACACTGTTTCTCTGTCGGCTGATTCTGTCTCTCTGACGTGTCGGGCTGCTCGTAACGTCTTCACAAGAGCTGCCGTTATTGTACAACCACAGTTACAGTACAATATGCTTCATGAAGCGTTCATTCCATCTATCGCATTGAGTGAGTCAATTTTGAATCATAAATTTCAACTCGTGTCACAATTAATCTAGTTTTAGCATAAAAAAATGTTTCAGTTTACTCAATGAAGCTTCATCCTCGCTGGCAAGGAAGTATTGTTCTGAATATCTCACCAATTGCGAACGCTCTCACGACAACAATGGTCCATACTGAAAATAACCATGCAAAAGCAGTGGGAAGTTTGACGCTCTCTCCGGTCAATTCAAACGTTCGTTTGGTGTATTTCATCCGGAAACCTGAAAATGATGCAGTCACAGAAATGTCTGTACAGATGACCACCTATGGAATCAATCCAGCAATCATTATGGATCGTCGACTGTCGAGATATTCCCGATTGTCTTGTTCTTTTCATTTCTCATTCCCCTCGTGTTTATTGTACACGAAATTCAAACTGAAGGCTGGACAATCTACTTTCGACTGGCAAATCGTTTTATGCGACGACAAGGAGGCTCTTTCTCGGAGTGTACTTTATGGTGTTGCGATTCCATACTTCACTTTCCAACTGGCGAAAATGATTTTCCGTCCATGGTGGGAGAGATTCAAGATGATGTTTGAGGACAATTCACGAGAGCAAGAAGTTGATGTAGCAAAGAAAGAAGAAGCTGCGAATATTGTGAATCTAATGAGAGCAACCGCTGAGAGAATAAAGAGAGACGAAGAATCGAAAAATGGAGTCATCATCGAAAGTGCTCGCTACGGCCAATGCGATATCAGCGGAACGAGAGCGTATCCGTTAGCTGGAGAACGAACGATTGATGTGACGGTCCCTCTTCAAGCAATGGTTAATGATAGCCAACTCCGCGTATATACTGTGAAGGTAATCTTGCTTAGTGTGCCTTCAAATTGATAAAAAAAATATTCAGAGTCAATTGCCAGGATTCTACGATCCCTGTCCAGGAGACCCGAAGATGCTCACAGTTCGGTATTTCTTCCGTGGAGAAGAGCATTCGTGCACTGTTGCAGATGAGATGCCCTTGATGATTCCACTGAGAGGCGAGATTGATGCTAAACCTTTAGTAAATGTTAATATTTTTACAGCTCATCGACTGACTAACGAAAAAACGTAAACATTATGATGGCCATGCATGAGTCAGAAAGCGGTAAGGTTTTTTGTATTTATGTATACAGAAGGTTGAGAGAATGATGGTTATGGTTGTGGTCATATTTCGTTTTTTCCTCGAGTCTAAAAATTTCAGAATACCGTATTTGCGGGGGTACGACGAATTCGAACGCTTCCAAAATCGAACAGACCTAGAATCGAACATGT